ATTTTACATCTACTTATCAAAGAAGTTTCCAGAATAATAAACTTCAAGAATTACAAAAATGGTGCAATGATATTTTGGTAAAGTACCCTGATAAGATTTTTGATTCGGAAGACTTCATCACAATTCAAGAAAATGCGTTAGTCTCACTTATTAGCCGAGATGATTTACAAATGAAAGAAGTAAAAATTTGGAACTATGTTATTGATTGGGGAATTGCTCAAAATCCTGGTTTACCATCTAATACTAAAAACTGGACCCATGAGAATTTTTTAGCTTTAAAGACTACTTTACAAAATTGTTTGCCTCATATCCGTTATTTTCAGATGTCTAGCGATGAAATTATCGACAATGTACAGCCATATAAACAAATTCTAGAAAATGATCTTTGGGATGATATAACAAGAAAGTTTATGTCACCAAGTCGTCATGTATCATCAACAATTCTCCCACCTCGTAAAATTTTAACACCAACATTACCGACCAGAAATACAGAGCCATTTTCAACAGTTATAAATGAAGCACATGCAGCAGAAATTGCTTCATGGATTGATAAAAAAGGAAATACATATTATTCTTTAACAAATAATCCATACGAGTTTAAATTACTTCTTCGTGGAACTAGAGATGGTTTTACCAATGATTCATTTTGGAAATTATGTGATAAGCAAACACATCTTGTTGTAGTTATGAAGGTTAAAGGTACTGATGAAATTCTTGGTGGTTATAATCCTATCGGTTGGGATAAACCAATTTCAGGTTCTTTTTATAAGAGTTGCAATGATAGCTTTATTTTTTCATTGAAAAATGGCACTATTCAAAATTCTATTTTAAGTCATGTAAAACAGCCAAAAAAGGCGATTCATTATCGGAATGATGAATTTGGCCCACGATTTGGTGATGGTTGTGATTTATCTATGAAGAAGAATTTTAATCAGGATAGAAATTGTTGGCATAAACAAAGTTCATACGAAAAACAAATTAGAAATACATTTGAAAATGGATATTCCTATTTTTCAGTGGAAGAATATGAAATATTCCAGATCAGTTAAAAAATTCTAAAATTTTTACGCTATTTGCAAATGATGTCGAGTTCAACACATAAAAAGCCCATAAATTGATAGCCTTAAAAATCGTAATACAGTAATGAAACGTGTCAATATATCTGTTTTGTGACCTGCCTTTCGGAAAATAATTTCGCAAATTAAGAAGAAACAAAATAGTATAATTTTTTCTAAATAAAAAATGCTAACTTATTATTACGATAAATAGATTATTATTCAAATATTGATAAAGCTAAATTATCACTTCATAGTCGTTCGATTGTGCTATTGTAAATAAAATATCTTTATAAGTATGACTTTCTTATATCGATACCCTCAAAATAACATCTATATTCTCAAAACTACTTCGCACAATCGCGTAATCAAATAAAAATCAGGTGATCGAATGTGTGAGCAAAATTTTAGAACAAGATCATACATCGCCTAATTTTATCGCGGTTTGCAAATTGATGTACTTTTTGATCAAATTTGTAGATCGCTACATACCCATACAATCACCTGATTGTAGTCCGATTGCGCGATTGTACAAGATTGTAAAAATTATAAAGTGCGTTCTTTGGCCAAAGATTCAATATAAATATGTTATTCTCATCGACCAGATCTATGCTCACTAAAAAATCATTGCAAAATCGCGCAACCGGACAACATTCAGGTGATTGTTCAAGTGATTGTAGCCATTGTACGGGTATGCAGCGATCTACAAATTTGATCAAAAAGTACATCAATTTGCAAACCGCGATAAATTCATACAAAGTGACATTCAAACCTGTACAAAATGACAATTAAAATAAGTTTGATTAAATCGCGATATCTCATGATATAGTGGTCCAATATAGAAGATTTTGGTACCACTCGAATTGTCTCGCCGAGCGGATTTGAATGGTACCAAAACCTTCTATATTGGACCACTATATCATGAGATATTGCAATTTAATAAAACTTATTTTAATTGTCATTTTGTACAGATTAGAATGTCACTTTGTATGAATTTAAAATCATTTTGTACGATATCAAATGTCACTTTGTACGAAATTGATACCAAAAGGGATAACCTAAAATAAATAGTTTAAATAAATGGTAAGTCATCTTAATTGCTGAATTAATCATCGTGTGCAAACTTGAACTGAGCAGTAAACCTTAAATTAAATTGTGCAAACGGCATGCGTACGTACGTACAATACTTAATTTTGGTGGATGTTCTGTCACCATTTTTATCTTACTTTCATAAGATCAGCATAAATTAGCCAATTAGATAACCTTGAGATCGCAAGATTATAGGACTAGTTCTGAACTAGTCTGGTCTGGACCAGGTACGAGCCCATTTCCCATGGACCACTTAACATCCCTAAAAAGTAAAAAAAAAAAAACAGGGTTTCGAAAAACAAATTGCACCAATTAAAAGATTGTGTATCCGACAATCAGAAATTTCCACAAAAGGCGAATTATGTGAAATTGCTTAACTTGCATCACAATCGATATCAATATTGGTAAGCCAAAAAATTTTATGCTTATCGACAAATTTGAAATGAATAGATTATACTTACAGTACCTAATTTTACTAACTTACTCACGCAAGCTGCTTTTTACTAATTCGTTTTTACGTATTATTTAAGCGAATTGGATTTTTGAAAAACTAATATGTGGTTTATTTGCTTCCTACGTACAAATTTTTTTACAACTTCCCTGATAGGGCTATTCAAATTGTGAATTTTTACTTAGCATTTAAATTTCAGACATGCCTGCACATAATTAATAGATGAATTATCCTTCGCATATCAATTTATAGTTTAACAAATAATGAAAATTATATACTAAGATAAAAAGAAAACGAGATACAAAATCCAATAATTCGAATTCGTAATGATGACGTATTGTTCTCATCGATGAAAATGTCAATTTGTTTTGAGTCAATTTGCTGTGTAAAAGAGATAAATTTACTGGTACAATTTTTGCGACGTTACACGTGAATTCTATTTCATCGGCAGTTTTGAATTCTTGATAAATATCAGATTCTTCTCGATTTTTGACACAATTATACAATTTAAGAAATATTTCATATAGTTGTTCTGCTGTGGGTCTTTTTTCTGGTTCACCATCTAAGCATTTTTTCATTAACTCAACATAACACCTTGGTGTTTTCTCGGAAAATTCTGGTCGCGCACCTTTACAGATTCTAACAACCAACTTCGTGTCAATCGGTTCATTATTGAATGCAGGTTTTCCTGTGGCAATTTCATTCATTATTATTCCATAACTATATACATCTGAAGGTTTACGATAGGGTTTTCCGGTTAAAACTTCAGGAGCTACGTATGGGACAACCCCATATTCACCATTTAATGGGTTATATTCGGTATCCTTACGTGATAACCCAAAGTCTGAAATTATACAACTCTTGGATTTATGTAATATATTTCCACTATGGAAATCACCATGGACTAAACCAGCTTCATGGATTACCTTTAAATCTTTTGCTATACTCATTGCAAATTGTAATCTATCTTCCCATTTTAAAGTTTTATGATTTTTTATTAAAAATTTTCGTAAATCCCCACCTTGTGCATAATCTAGTACGATTATAAATTCATTTGTCTCTGGATTCTTGCTAATACCATAACAATGAAGGAATCCATTTTCCTGACACATCATGAACCCATGGTGAGTTTTTATCTACAAATAAAATTTCAATAAATAAAATTTTATTGATAATATTGTAAATAATAGTAACATTTTAACTGACCTCATGAAGAATTGCTTCAGTTATGCCTTTTTTATTATGAATGTTTTTTTTTGTAATAATATTAAATGCTTGGGACTGATTCTCTATTTGAATAATAACAGTAATAGCTAGAATACACAAAAATACAAACTACTAATCAAAAGCATAATAATACGAAGTAAATTTAGAAAGATCCGGAAAAACGGAAAATGAATACCGATAATATTTTTATAGGAATTAGAATTTGTGCATAAATATCTTAGAGTTGTTAAATAAAGTAGCATACTCCGGTTTTTACTCCGAGACATAATGAAGTTTTCAAATATACATTGCATCAGGTTTTATGAAGATCTGGGACTTACTTTGAACCAAATTTCGTTCATTTGCTCAATTTAACAACTCTAACATTTATATTTATCTTAATCATGACTTTTATTTATAAATTCCATTTTACATATCTAATCACAATTTATATTACAATAATCGCGCGAAGAGCAGTATATCACATGACTCAAATTTTTTTTGGATGGTGATTACCCTCTTAGTAGCTTTTAGCCATAATAAGAGACAATAAGAGATGCTCCTGAAATCGCTAAATCAATTTTGATATGGTCAGTATTGATTTAGATAATTAACACTAGGGATGTTAAAAGTCCGGTCCGGTCCGGTCCCGGTCCGGTCTTTAAAAAGTCTGGTCCTGAACTAGTTAGGAACTAGTCCATACCCCGGTACTAAACCGGTTCAACACTGGCCT